TGAAGTCCTTTATTTGTTTGCGTAGTGGCTACGATATAAATTTTCTCAAACTGCCCCATCTTTTCCTTTTGTTTTCAGTGTAGGGAGGCTAAGTGCAGAGGAGCACAGACATTTCATGCTTTGAGTTCTCAGAGAATTGCTATTAGATGAGAGTTTCTTGAGAAATGAAAGACCTTTACAAAAAGCTGGGTTGAGACAATGTGATGAATTTTATGGATGTCAGTGGGTTTATCTCAGGTGGAGAAGAGGTTTTGTTTGTTGTTGGACTAGTGCAGAGTCTCAGAGGTGCAGATAGGAGTAGCCAGAGGGTGTTTCCTTTGGGGTAGTCCCTCATGATAGCCATTTTTGATGTCTGACCTCTTTAACAGCATGACCTGAGGGTAGGTGGAAGCAAGGTCGGTGGGGAGGGGGATGAAAGGCAGACATCAATTAAGGTATTGTTAGTTGCTGGGTTTGAATGTCTGCCTCCGTGCTGAGATCGGGGTAGAGGACAGTGATCAAGTGCTTGTTCTAAGGCAGGAGAAATGCTCCAGGGTGGGTTGAGGATCCAGTAATAAAAAAAGCACTGCACTTGGCACACATTGTAGCCGGGGGTGAAATGAAAGGGATTCCAAGTCGCCCAAAGTACCCAGGATCATGTTGATGATTCACAGTGGCTTGACCATGAAAAGATAACAAAGTCTTGCTTCGAGGGCTTGCAAGGCTCCTTGAGGTTCCATAAAGACTTTTGGAAGAGACTGTCTCACTTTAGCAGCCCAGACTCCATCATGTTATTCTTGAAACTCTCTCCTTTCCGTGTGCTCCGCGTCCTACATGCTAAGGAAGTGGCATGTGTAGGAAGAGGCACTTCCTTCCTCCTAAAAAAGATCAACAGCATGCTGGAAAAGGAGTCACCATCTCCTTGCTTTGCCTTCGAATGGCAATGTAGCTGGACTTAGAAATGGAATCACTCTAAACTCACTTTCAGTGTGTGTCCAACAAGCATGCATTTTATGGTTTGTGGATGGCAAATGTCTGACAGGGGTATTACTGTATATTTAATTCCAAACCAGCACTAAATAGTTACCTTGTTATCAGAGTTCAATACCAGAGTCATATTTTGTGTACAGTACTTGATGAAAATCAATGTAAAAAGCAGAGATGCCTTCCCTGCCATTGCTGCCATGGCACCATGGTCTTCTGTCCCTTTGGCAGAGCTGAGCCAGTCAAAATGCCTCTTGGAGCAGCAGCTGTTGGAGAGACCTACTGCTCATGGTAGTTCTGATGTCAAGCCCATGTTGCAATTGCAAAATCTCTGGATTTGGAAAATCCCGATAAAATGTTGATAGTACTGTGTTCAGACAGCGATGAACAGATTTCATTTACAGTCTGTTTTTCGCTGGGTCTCAACTGTTTGGTGAAACTTAGAAGTTCCTGTGGAGCATCTGCTTTTTACATGCTGTGCTCCAGAGGCTGGAGTCTCCTGCAGCTTTGGGGTCAGCCTGAGCCCCCCGCTGCTGGCATTTCTCTTTTTCCTGAGGAAAAAAATCCCTTTCATTGTTAACTCGAGGGGGTTTCCTAAGCTTGCTTTGTGAGGGAGGGCTTGCTTCTTGAGCCCGAACATTGTGCGAAGGGCATGCCCTGCTGAGCACATTCATTTGGTGCTTAGAATTTTCTCTTTAACTTCTGCAAAATTGCAGTTCGTTCCTAGGAAGGATGGCTGTGGACCTCTGTACAGATGCATTTTTTTTAAGACATGAGGATAAAATGCACATCTCAAAAACCTGGGCTGTTTCATCTCCGTGCACAAGTTTCGTTTGATGAATAACAGAATCTCTATTAGCCAGAAATAACTCGATTTTGTTTTCCATGTATCTGGTCTGAGATGACGCTAATAAGAATAAATTAGGAGTGCAACTGAATAAAATTCAATATGTAAAATTAGTGTGCTGATGTCTCAGGCAATGGCAGTGGCTACGGGGGGAGCAGTGAGACTGGAATGGGAGGCAGTGCAGAGCCGAGACTGCGTGTTGCAGCCAGCTAAGGCGCAGCTCGGGATCCTTAATAAAGTGGGAGCAAGAGGGTGAAAATAAAAAAAGGGGTGGTGGGGGGAGACGGGGGAAGGATGGGAGCGGTGGGAAAGCGGAGCATCCTGATTAGCACGAAAATGCAACACTCATTTGCAACTGGAAGGAGGCCGGGGCCGCCGGGGAGGTGCGGCGGGAGGGGGCGGGGGCAGGGAAGGTGCCGGGAGCTCCTGCTGCTCCGCCGGCACAGCCGGCGGGAGACATGGGAGGGAGAGCAGGCACCTGCCGGCTCGGGACTTCCTGGAGCAGCCAAACTTGGAGAGCGCAGGAAAGGAGGGTAACAAGAGCGGAGTAACTACTGTGGACAGCAAGAAAACCTTCTTCGTCCTGCGCAAAGGAGAATAACAGCTGGGTGTTTTTTTCTCCTGTTGGAAGTGGCTGTTTCCAGCGCACATTCGAGGAGGAGAAACTCAGGCCAAAGAATTGTAAATTATTTCGTCTGTCAGAAAGATCTGGACATATTTAAAGTGGTTTCAGAAAAAGAAAAGGCAGAGGGGAGAAACGTGGAGAAGAGAAATTTGGTGTGCAGAGTTTGAGCAGGTTCAAGTCTGGCAATCACCTTTCTGCAACTCCTCCTTTCTATGGGATTTCAACTTCAGGATCTCAGTTCAGCACCTTGAAAATGGTGGTTTTCATCAACACAAAACTTAAATCTCTCATGAAACTTTTCAAGAGAAAGAGTAAGTATAGTTCTGTGTGTTCGCTGTGCTTTCAGGAAGCAGCCCAGTTCTGAAGGAAAGCGCAGGTCCCGTCGGCTTCACTTCTCCTTCCTGCAGCCTCCTTTTAAGCTTTTCTCACTCTTTTAATCGTTTATCGTTGTGGAGTGTATGGAGGCAGGCTTGTGAGGGTCTTTAGGACCTCTGCTTTGGGACACAGTGGCTTTGGAAGTACTTTGTCACGGTGATACTGAAGGAGCCAAAGTTCTCGGTGTGAAATGGGCAGCTGGGTGACAAGGCAGGGTGTGCCGGTGTGTGCTGCTGTCCTGATGGTTTGTCAGACATCTGTCTCTGCTTATGCAGCTATCGGCTTGTATCACTGAGGTATCTATGTAAAGTTTGTTCTCAGCCAGGTTTTGTTTTTAAAGATGTTCTGGTTTCAGGGTGGCTTTTAAAATCATGTTGATCTTCCTTTAAGTCATGAAGGACAGACAAATCACACTAGAGAGAGAGGTTGGGAAATGTGCACACCACTTCTCTTGACTAGTTTTGATGACCATTATCGATCTGACGAGCAGTAAACCTTAATTTTGCTGCGGCAGGGCTGCAGCCAGACAGTGGGCTTGGCGGCAGGTGTTTCCCTCCTCCTCTTCCTCCTCCAGCCTTACCCACTCCCCACCCGCCGGTTCAGCCAGGGAATGGCGTGGGCGTCTTTCACTGACTTTAAGTGTCACATTTTCTGTTAGATGGGGGTGATTGATGCTCTAACCAGGTAGGTGATGACTTCTCCGTTTTTTTGTAGTTTAGGTTTGACCGCTGGTGAGCAAGAGCGGGGAGAGTGGGCACAGGCTGAATGTGTATTTGCCTTGTTGAAGCCAGTATGTCTTGGGAGAAGGGGGTGGAATGCAGGACCGAGACACAGACATGAGGATACCCATTTTCAGACATTTCGAGGTCTGAAACTAAGAGGGGAAGCAGTTAAGAACCTCCCCCTTCACTCAAGTCCTTTTAAGAAAGAACAGGCATTGAGCATGAGGCTGTAGCTGTTTTGAAGCGAGAGGCAGAGCTTATTTTCCTTATGAATCCCAGTTGTTTCCATCTGAAATGATCCCAGCAGATGACAGTAGTGTTAAGGAAAGCGTAATTTTTCAGATGACAGAAGAGTGTTGCATCCTTTTTGCTTCTCAGTTTTACATGCCACCTCTGCTACTGCAAGGGCATCAGACAAACCAGAAAGTGATGCCCCAGGCAGTGCAGCAACAAAGGGGGCATAGGGGAGATGCAGAGCTGACAGCAAGGCTGGGGGCAATGGAGCTGTGGCAGCAGGGCAGGTGCTTGGAAGGCAGCACATCTGTAGTGGCTTTTTCTGCTTTGGAGAGCTAAAAAGCAAGGATGTGCAGCATGCTGACTGAAGGCCAAAGGGTGCCTGGGGGATCATAAAATATGACCCCCACCTGCCCTTTTTGTGTTTACAGCAGGGTAGAGGGATAAGGCTATTCAACTGTTTAAGTTTTTATTGATGATAAACTTGAAACAAAACGCAGTGGCTGTCTCTTGGGGAGCATAAATGATAAACAAATCTTGGCAGTGTGTGCTTTGGCTGTTTCATTGCTATATTTTCTGAGCTTGAACAAGGTCTGTGTTTTATTTTGACGTTTGTATTGAGTGCAAAGAGGTAGCCAGAGATAGCCCTCTTCAGTGCTGTTGTGCTCTGAGCAGTATTTGTCCACAGAGTTGCTTTTGTTTATATCTGCTTTCCACTCATGACAAAGGAACATAGCTAATTTATTTGCTTCATTGGAATCTTGTTTCTGGTGTGAGGAAGCAGGAGGTCAGACAAGGTTGTTTCCCAATAAAAATGAACCTGTTGTCATCTTTCATGAAGGCTGTCATATTCCCAGGGGCACCTTTGAGCCAAGCTATTCTGCACTGCACAGCACCTGCCATGATCAGGGAGTGGAAAACTGATTCCTTTATGAAGAGTGGGAGCTAGAGGGGGGGAAAACAGAGTTTCAAGTTTAGAGTGAATAAAACAGCAAGTATAAAAATGGGAAGAGCAAAAGGTGTTTCCTACAGAACTAATTTTAGACTAGAAATTTAAGGGAGGGTTTTTTAACTGTCATGGAAGTGAGGTTCTAAGGAGTGTTTTGATGGCTCTGTGGTGGCAAACAATGGTTCTTTCATTTTTAGATGACATGGGGCAAACTTACATGTGGGATTTTGTGATAGAGCTATCTGCAATAACATCTCATTTTCTTATTATTGTGTCTCTCTGCAGCTGTTTCCAACCTAGATGAAGAGAGTAGATGGACTGTGCATTACACTGCTCCGTGGCACCAGCAGGAAAATGTATTCCTACCCTCCTCAAGACCACCTTGCGTGGAGGACCTGCACAGACAAGCCAAGCTGAACCTCAAGTCAGTGCTGAGAGGTAAGACACTGCTACTGACACAGACACGTCCTAAAACAACAGTACTTTTTGCCAGTCTTTGCAAACATATCCAAATTGCAGGCTTTGCAAGAAGTTTATTTGCTTTTCTGTATCACATGTAGAACATTAGTGGGGTTTTCCTGCTCAAATGAAGGGACAGGGGAAAATTACTTTGCTATGAAAACCATGAGTAAATGTGTTATCTGACAGAGCACTCTAAAACAGAAAAGTGTCTCTTGGCCTATCTGTTTAGTCTTTGGAGTGTTTCCAAAATGATACCTTCAATTTCACTAAGTCCTGAATTAGTCCATTTGTGAAGAAAAAAATATATCAGAGGTGTTTTATTTGGTGATTTCTTTTGTTGTTGCACAGGGTCATTTCCAGGGTTGTGGCTGCTTCTGAGAAGCTGGAAAAGGTGCTGAGGGCAGAAAAGGGAAATGGGGAACAGGGCACTCACAAGGACTCCTCCAGTAATAAAAGTGCTTGCTTGCAGAAGTGTTCAGCATGTTTTTAAGGCCCAGTTTTTACCCATAGTACCTTTGCTGGGGCTGTACCTGTGCAGTCTGTTGTGTGAGGCATTGTGTTGTGTCAGTGCAGCCATGAGAACAAAGACATGCAGCCAGCAAGGAGGCCTGCAGAATGTCTGTCCCTGGGCCAGACATAAAGTTTAAAATAACAGTATAATGTTCATGTTCTGGAAACGGTTAACCTAGATTTTTCTTTACGCTGGCTGTTTAACAAAGGGGGTTACCCTGCAAAGAGCCAACTTGTTCAAGTCCCTTTTTGTTTCAACAGGAACTGCAGGTACTTGATACCTTGCAAAGTTAACCTGATTTAAAAGAATATTGTATTTTTTTATTTGATTAACTTGACATTTCTGCTTTTTAGACTTGAAGAAAGCTTGATTTTGTATGTCTGAATAGAGAAGTGTTTGACAGCCATATTTGAGTTCTCTTGCCTTTTCCCCAGTTAATTGATTTTCACTGTCTCTTACTAGGTGCTTTTTGTTATCATTTAATAGGGAAGTCTTGACAGCCAGTTTTATTGTCTCCTGCATGGCTCAGCAGATAGCCTGTGTGCCCTCTGTACTTATTACTGGTTTAATACATTTGTGCAGTTCCTTAGCCTTGAAACATTTATTGTTCTCTTGCAGGCACGCTTACCAGTCCTTTGCAAAATGAAAATATTTTTCAGTCCTTTACAAAATAAAAATATTTGCCTGCTTTAGATTAAAAAGAATAGTGATGGTTTTTAGCTTTTTTGTGAACTTTAACCACTCATTCTAATATTTTTTCCTGTTCTCTGTTTTGGACTGTTAAAAAAAACCCCAAAAACCTGCACAGGCTAAAATGCACTGATTTTCTTGAGTTTTATCAGAAATGTAACTACTGCAGTTTCATGTTCTGTTTAAACACATTTATATCTAATATATTTGTCTGAAACCAAGTTTATTATTATTATGCTGCTTCCCCTTCTTACACACCTGGAGTTGTTTTGGTCTGGTGGGATTTTTCTCTGGAGATGCAGTTCATTATAAAAAAGAAGCTATTGATTACTACTACAATTTGCTAGTTAGCCATTTGTGTTAAATAGCCTGGTTTGTGTACCTGATGTAAGACTGCTTGTTAATGAAGTAAGTTTCAGTTTCATGCTTTCAGGGTAGTAACTGAGAGGAGAAACTGATGATACCTTCACCAGACGTTAAACTGCTGACTTAGTGAATGCAGCTCTGTTATTTATTTATTTACTTATTTGTTTAACCTCAAGCTCTTTCCTTGAGCCATGTTTTGTTTTTTTTTCCCCTAATGCAGTATTAAAATAACTCCTTGCTGTTGCCTGGAACTGTCCTGAGAAGCTACAGCAAGAGTAGTATTAAGAGAGGCACTGAATAAAGTTCTATCAGTTTTACTGTGCTGTTGCTTTAACCAGCAGTGTGAAATCAGGAAGGCATTGGTGCCTTGGAGATTTGAGTTAAAAGTTCTGTATCCAGAGCAGAGTTTCATTCAGTGTAAAAGCACTGTCAGAATTGTGACATAATTTTGAGAACTGCTGAGCTGATTTTCCACCTGTTTCTTTAGAAAAAACCAAAGTTTTCTAAAGCAGAAGAACTTGAAGTAGTGTTATGAGCAGCACCATTGGGCTAGCATGGGGACTTCAGTTCTGCATGTCTTGGCCTTATGATAAACCTTGCAGTTTGCCATCCTTTTGGTGTTTCAGATTCTTTGGCTGAGGTAAACCTGAAGCAGTAGGACAGCTGTATGTGACCTGACATGCTGTATGGGTGGTGGGGAAAGAATGACACTGGATGACAAAAGGCACTGTATTCTGTGCAGAAAGTGGGATGAATCACTTTTGTCTCCAAAAAACAGTGACAGCAAAGGGAAACTGGAAAGAAGTAGAACTAAAGGAAATACAGTTTTTGCTTTATGCTAAGTCGGAAATGAAGCAGTAGGCATGTACCGCAGGGGAGAATATGAGGGCAAAGATATTTAATACACCCCCCCTGCATATATTTTGGGGGTTATGAAATAATTTAAAATTTTTAAGAATAGGTCAGACAAGCACTGCTCAAAAGTCATTTGTGTATATTTAATCCTATCTTTAAGAGGAGGTTGGGAAGGAAGAAGGAACCTCTGGTGGTCCCCTTGAACCTGATAACGAAGTCATGAGAACTAAGTTAGCAGCTATTGTTCAGACCATCAAAAGACAGATTTGAAAGTTTTCCAGTCCTGTTCTTGTTCACATTATGAGAGCTGATGTTGTTGGTAGATAGCAGCTATAGAAGCTTCATTGAAGACTATTTATTTGTTTCTACACATGTGGCTCCCCTGTAAATGGAAAAGGAAGTATAAAACTTAGGTAACAAATAGTAACTCACATGTAGAGCACATTTAAATCACCTGTCAAATTATCAAATGTATAAAATCTTTCAAAATAATTCAAGCAAAGTATTTCTATCAAGTATTTCCATCTAAGAGTAACCAGATGGAATCCTGGCTGGCTTTTAAGACAATGCAAGGGCAAACTGTTCTGGTATGATTTTAACAGCAAATTCTTTACAGTGTGGGTCTAATAAAAAAAAATCTAGTGAAATCAATAAGAAGTTGTTATTTAGCATAAACTTCTAAGTACCACTTAAGAAGCAGAAGCTAATATTGCTACTTAAATTGGTTTAAGGATAAAAAGTTAGAGATATTAAAATAAATAGTATTTAACGTGTCTTGAGAAAATTAAGTACACCATGTGCTGATCTCTGCATACTTTTTCAGGAAGCAGTGTTGTTTTTGTAGGAGGAAAAGATCTTCTTAATTAATTTTTGTGCAGCTGATTATTTTACTTTGTATATTATATATTGGTATGTCCCCCGTTTATCAACACTATAGAAATGGATGCTGTATGTGATAGTAGATGTTGCATAGGGAGATATTTGCAGTTTTAACCTATGAACTAGGCTTTTATCCTTTTGAAATTAAGGGGAAATACTGTGCTTTTCCTTTGTGAAGCTACTTTTAAGTATAAGAGGTGAGATCTTTAATTCAAATGTGTTCATAACTGAGGTAAAGCTATTTTAGGCATGCAGGTGCTCTGCTGCCCTCTGAAGTTTTAAAATGCAGTATTGTCCAGTAACCTGAATTAGAAAATGAAGTGCCTGGAAAGTTTGTGAGGCTAGTCTATCTATCTTGAGACATATAATGTATATGTAACCTATATTGAAATTTAGAGTTGTTATTGACTAAAACCAATGGCTTGATATATTAAGCCCAGGCTGTGTTACTTCATTTTAAATGAAAGGTTTCTGTGGCTTACTATGATGGCTAGGGAGGAAGAATAACTTCAGCTGCACTTTGCAGTCACGGTACCATTGCAGTTTGATTTAAATGTTTAGAAAATGATGCAGTTCTTGGGTTGTGGTGATAGATACAGTATTTCTTCTTAGTGTTTTGTTTGCATGGGATAAAGCAAGCCCTCATTTTCTTTGGGGAAGGAGCCAGGACCTTGGAGTGCCTGCTGAAGCAAATGGAGTGACACGTGCCATGCAAGATGCATGTTTTCTTACCCTTAGGGCCAAGCTGCTCTGGCTGGCCTTTCCTGAAACCCTGTCCTATATGGCCTCTTCCTAAAGTTTTCACAGGCACTTCATGAAAGGTGTCTCCCAAAATACAGATGTTCAGACAGAAACAAAAAGGTATTAATCACTGAGGAGTCTTAATGTGACTGTGCTTTGTGTCCCTGTTGTATCCTAGGAATTCATGAAAACAGGAGATGGAAGACGACAGGTGGGAAGGAAGAGCTGAGGCTCTGCATGGGGCCAGGATCCTCAAATCAGTCCTGTTCCCTTGCTGTGTGCTCTGCTCCAAGGCTGAGGGACTACTAGACTTGGCTAGTCTCATGTTGCTAATGTCTGCTGAGTGTCTGGACTAGCACTGAGAGTCTGGTCTGGGCAATAGCAGAGCTGTGAGTTTGATGTTGTTCAGAGTGGCATTGTTTCTTAAGGCAGGCTGTTGTGCTGAAGGGCCCAGTGCCACATACTGCAGTGTTTTTTCTGTGGTGTTCTTGGTCCATAAGGCTGAGAGGTTCAGTGGGTAGGGTAGCACTGTAAAACAGCTCCCATCCCTGCACTGGCTGATCTGGCTCCTTGCATGGTCCTGTTTGAAGAACCAGTATCTGAGGAAATCTCTGAAGTACAGTGTTCTTCAGCTGGGAGCACAGATAGAACAGCTGCAGTACATAGCAGTGACATAAATATTTGGCAGTAAAAGTAAATTGAGACTAATGCTCATTTTGTGAAGTGTGTAGGACTCTAAAATAGACCAGCAATAAGGTATGAAGCATGAAGATGGGGAGGAGACGCAGCACTGTTCTAAGTGTTGCTTTATTTAACTGCTTGGGGTGTATTTTAAGTGTGCCTGTTTGCCTTCTGAGCAGGTTTGTGATATCAACAGTGTGTTACAGGTGGAGGTCCAATGTCCTAAAAGGAAAGCCTAAAGTTTAATCTGGAA